GTTTGCTTTGAGAGAGATACTGTTTAGATATTCAAGTGGGGTTGACTCTGGTGTTCAGAGGATAGATGGTCTTCGGAAGCTTGTGGTTAAATGAGATCACCCAGCGAAGGGAGTGAAGAAGAAAAAGAGTCCCAGGATGGGCTCCAACCTTTACTCCAATCTTTACAGTTCAGGGTTCCACTGGTTCTGGAAAAGGAACAAGTGAAAGGGACTGAGGAGATGTGGTGGTGAGGCAGGGGAGGATCAGGAGAGTGTGGAATGTTCTGGAAGCAAGTAAAGACAGTGTGTTGAGGAGGAGGGAGAGCTCAAAGGTGTCAATGCTGCTGACTCATCAAGGAAGGTGAGGGCCGAGAACCGTCCATTGGTTTAACAATGTGGAGTCAATGGTGACCCTGAGAAGGAAGGTTCTGGTGAAGAGGAGGGCTGTAAGCCTATAAAGAGAAACAGAAAGGAGAGGGAGAGGGGCTGAAGGTGAGAGGGCCCTGTCAACGCTGGAGGAACTCTGTTCTAAGGTGCTGTGAAGAAAGGGCAGGGAGCTGGAGGGGGATGCGGGCTCAGGGAATTTCGGATGGAAGAAATCATAGCATGTTTGCAAGCTGTAAACCAGTATTGTACTGTTCACCCTATGTTTGCAGATTATGGAACTAAGACTCAGAAAGTGTAAGTAGCAGACCCAGTAAGCAAAAGGACAAGGCTTGGATGGGGGTTTTGGTGGGTCTGTCTGACCCACCCCGAAATCATGCTTTTAATATGTCAAGTTTTTTCTTTTGTTTTTAAATTCATTTTATTTATTTTTATTTATTTTGTGACAGAGTCTCGCTCTGTCACCCACCCTGGAGCGCAGTGGCGTGATCTGGGCTCACTGAACTTCTGCCTGCCGGGTTCAAGTGATTCTCCTGCCTCAGGCTCCCAAGTGGCTGATACTGCAGGCGTGCACCCCCAAGCCTGGCTAATTTTTGTATTTTTAGTAGAGACGGGGTTTCATCATGTCGGCCAGGCTGGTCTTGAACTCGTGACCTCAGGTGAGATTCGCCCACCTCGGCCTCCCAAAGAATAGGTCAAGTTTTTTAAAAAACAAATTGAAGTAGTACAGCTTTTTTAATTTTTTCATGTCATAATATGCCATGAGCACTCTTCCACATGAATAAAAAGCAAGAACTGACATAATTAAAAGGAGAAATAGACAAATCTACAATTATTCTGGCAGATTTTAACTAACTTCTGTTAAAAATTGAGAAAACAGACCAAAAAAATCAGTAAGGACCAGATGTGGTGGTATGCACCTGTAATCCCAGCTAATCGGGAGGTTGTGGTAGAAAGATCACTTGAACCCAGGAGTTCAAGACCAGCTGGGCCACATAGTGAGACCTCATGAAAAACATTATTTATTTATTTATTTATTTATTTATTTATGTAGAGACAGAGTCTTGCTCTGTTGCCCAGGCTGGAGTGCAATGGTGTAATCTAGGCTCACTGCAACTTCCCATGCCAGGTTCAAGCGATTCTCCTGCCTCAGCCTCCCAAGTAGCTGGGACTACAGGTGTCCACCATCACACCCAGCTAATTTTTGTATTTTTAGTAAAGACGGGGTTTCGCCATGTTGGCCAGGCTGGTCTCGAACTCCTGACCTCAGGTGATCTGCCCTCCTCAGCCTCCCAAAGTGCTGGGGATTACAGGCGTGAGCCACCACGCCTGGCCCACTCCCTCATTCTTTCAGCTCTCTGCCCTAATGGGACCTTTCAGTGCAGCCTTTTCCTGACTTCCCTTTCAAAATTGCAGCCTCCCCTCTTTCCTGTCCCATCCCAACCTCCCTATCTTCCGCCTCTGAGTCTCTCCAGTGCCTTCATGGCCACCTTTTACTGTGATTATTGTCAATCTAAAGCCTCCTGGCGCCCAGCACACAGTAGGTGCTCAGGGGTCACCTATTATATGATGGGCAGAAGCCTGTTCTTACCTCCCATGGTGTCCGGGGTTCCATGGGGCCCAGCACAGGGAAGGGGAGACAGTAGCAAATGTGAGGCATCAGGATGTGATCTGTATCCTCCTTCAGCAGCAGTACTCAGACCCCCCACCCGCCTGGCGACTCTGTCCCAGCCCAGCCTGGCCCAGCATCCTTGATCTTGCTGTCAGCCTCCAGTCCCTCCTGCTCCTGTTCCTGCTCCGAGCTGCCCCCGGAGGGACCTTTCTAACATACGACTCTGATGCCTGGTGAGGAAGGCCTTTAGGGGCTCCCCATTGCCAGTGCCTGGTCTAGAACTGAATTGCTTCTCCACGGAGTGTGCTCCTTCCCGAACAACACCCCCAGATCTCACCCATCACCCACAATGTCCAGGACCCTCAGACTAGGTCCAGGTCCAGGGATGCTAACTGGCCTGCCTGGAGGAAGGCCTTGGCATTGACTTCACGCCTCTGCCATTTGGATGACCACTGGGGTCGGCACCATTGCCCACTGGGCAGCAGGAGGCAAAGGGCCTGGATCCCATACAAACAGCCACAGCCCAGCCCAGCCCCCAGCCTCCAACACCCAACCTAGCCCAGGCCAGCCCAGCTCCCAGGCCCCAACACCCAGCCCAGCCACAGCCCAGCCACAGCCCAGCCCAGCCCCCAGGCCCCAAAACCCAGCCCAGCCCAGCCCAGCTTCTAGCCCCCAACCCCCAGCCCAGCCCAGTCCAGCCCCAGCCCCACAAGTGGCCCACTCCAAGGCCTGTGCAATCTCCCAGCAGATATACCTAAGGGAGAGCCAGGAGGGGATGGTTCAGGGGCTCAAAGGGTGTCCTGTTGCCAAGGCTGCAGCAGGTCAGGATTTGTCAAAGGCCTCACTCAGCAGCTGCTAATTGGTGGCCACCTCCACAGCCTCCCTTGCCCTCAGCCCTGTAGCTGCTCCTGCCCTGCCCACTGCACCACTGCCCACTCGTCTATTCTCCGACTGCCCCATTGTATGGGTTGGGGGCCTGCAGCGTCCCAGGACAGGCTAGTCTTCTCTGGCCCTGCATCGCCTGCCCTCTCTGGGCTCATATGTTCTGGGCAGCCTGGCTGAGCTGGACAGGAGGGAGAGGGAACCCCAGATCTGCTCCCCTGCCGAGACATGGGCAAGGAGGGTGCTCCCCTCCCTTCTGTCTGTGACCAGAATCATCCAGCTCAGAGAGACTGTCAGATCTGTGAGACCTCGAAGGGGCTGGGCCTGGGTGGGTGGAGGGTTGGGAGCACAGAGGAACATTCCCATCCTGGGTGCCAGGCCGTGGCTGGTGCTCCGGGCAGGCCTTGGAAGTTTCTCTCCACTGGAAATGAGGCTTCTTCCTGGGACAGCTCTGGTCCCTTTCCTACAAGGAAGCAGGTTGGAAGCTCCTCTCCCCAGACCCAGCCTGTTTCTGGCTCGGAGACCCCTTGAACTCGTCCCCAGGTCCGCCCCACCATCCCCGTGTCTGATGCCCTTGAAGTGAGGGTCTCCCAAGCGCCAAATGGTTTATTACTTGGATTTTCATGCCCAGCTGCCTCTTGGCGCCTGCCTCCCTCCCTCCTTCCCTCCCGCCTCCCGCCCTCCTCCTGCCTCTGAGCACCACCTGTCTCTCCAGCCTGCCTCAGCAACCCCTGCTTGCCTGTTGCCAGGGAAACCGCCTCCTTGGCAACCAGCCGGCATCCATATGACACGTACACTCAGAAAGGAAAAGCTTCTGCTCTTGCTTAGGCTGTTGGTGAGCTCTGCTCTGAAGCCCAACAGGTTCTGAGGGAGGGTCCGGTTTGTGATCCCAGAGAGGGGAGGTGGGCAGGCATCATGCCTCTCTTGACCATTCAACAGCAGCTTATTAAGCACGTACTACTTCCCTGACTATGTGCGTGGCCCTTTGTGCACAATATCTCATTTAATCATGCATTGAACCTGCAAAATAGATGTGATTATTCCCATCTTACAGACGTGGAAATTGAGGCATGGAGAGGTTAAGGCTGTCAGAAGTCAGAGCCGAGATTCGAACCTACTCTTGTCTAACTTTAAAGTCCCGGTTCTTTCTACCATCTTGAGGTCTCTGGCTAGGCCTCTCTTAGCTGGGCCAAGAGTGAGTGGGCCTAGGACACAACCGAGTGATGGGGAAGCCCCCTCACTGTAGTTCATCTGGTGCTGCTCCCTTTGTGCCAGGCACCACTGTATAATCAGAAACCTAGAGATAGACTAGGCATAGTCCCTGCCCTCAAGGGGTTGCCAGTCTGGTGAGATGCTGATGGGAGCAGGACTCTGACATAACCCAGTGCAGGAGCCATGAGGCCAGGGGCAGGGCCTCCAAGCCCAGCTGAGCTCGACACTGACCCGGGCTTCCTGGGAGGAGGCTTGGGCTGTGGGGAGCCTGTGGTCAGAGAGTGGGTGGCAGGAGCTTGACACCTCCAGGGAGGCGCATATGGGTGATGACGGCAGCCCAGGTGGCCCGGGAGGTGTGGCTGAGGGACATGAAAGGAAATTGACAGGCAAGGGGGATGAGGGGTGTGCTGAGAACCAGGACCGGACTCTGGAATCCCCCAGCAGGGCACAGGCTCGATGGCCAGGGAGTGTGACCCCAGTGGGTGCCTGGGTTGTCCTTGAATACAGGCTGGGGTGGGGGTTGGGGAGAACTAGAGGGTGCGGGTGGGTGAGAGGACCCTCATAGGGGCCGGGGCTTTGAACAGGGGGGTAAAGGCAGAGATCATGGGGGCATCCTGTTGGAGCAGTGGCCACAGGTATCATGCAGGGGGCTGCTGGCTGCAAGGCCCTTAAGAGCCTAGGGACAGCGGGAGGAGGCCTGGCCCTTCCTCTTGCCAGCCCGGTGGAAGCCTGGATAGAACCCTCCAGGTGGAACACAAGGCTCTCCTGGAGGACCTTAAGGGGGGTTAGGGAGGTGGCTGAGAACAGAGAGGGGTCAGCCCTGTACAGGCAGGGAAGGGGCAAGGTGACTCTGGGAAAGGGGGTGGCAGGTGAAAAGATGTGGCTGGGCTTTGCCCTTGCCTGGGGTCCCACAGTGGGGTGTGTAACAGGCAGGGGGCCGGCTGCTGGGGCTGGGGACTGCCCTTCTGCACACTTGCCCCTGATCATGGCACCCCGTCTCCTGCAGGCTCTGCAGCGCCGTGAGACGGAGGTCTACGCCTACATCGAGAGTGAGGATGGCTGCCCACCCACCGCCAAGCAGAGCCCCCTCTCCCAGGTACGCAGGCGCTGGGACACCACGCCTGGCTTCTCACCCCATCTGACCCTCCCATCACCGGTGAAGTGGGGGCGGGGGGCAAATGGGACATGGAAGTGAGCCCTCTGCTGTGGAATCCCAGCCCTCTCTTGGTGGCAGCTGGCCTGCTGGTTAGGAAGACTGGTGGGCCTGAGTTCCTGCTCTGTCCCTTAGCCACTGTGCAGCCCTAGTCGAGGTGTCTGACTTCTCTGTGTCTGAATCTCATTTTGTGCAGACTGAGCAACCTAACAGTGCCTACCTCATAGACGTTCAGTGAGGGTAGAATGTTGTACTGAGAGAGCTGCCTGGAACGGAACCCAGCTGTGCCCATGCACTGTGAGCTATTGTAACTACCACTGGGCACAGTGTCCACACTGGCCAATCAGACAGGGGTGTTAGGCTTCCAGCTGCCCCCAGGTTGGGGTTGGCTAAAGTCTGGAGTTAGAGAGTGAGCTAGTAGAAGCTGGGCTGGCCTGGTCCGGGCTCTGTGATTGTCATGATAGGGCCTCAGGCATATTACCCAATCATATTTTCTCTCTCTCTCTTTTTTTTTTTTTTTTTTTTTGAGACAGAGTCTTGCTCTGTCACCCGGGCAGGAGGGCAGTGGCCGGATTTCAGCTAACTGCAACCTCTGCTTCTCGGGTTCAAGCAAGTCTCCTGCCTCAGCCCCCCGAGTAGCTGGGATTACAGGTGCCCACCACTGTGCCCACCACTATGTCCAGATAATTTTTTGTGTTTTTAGTACAGACAGGGTTTCACCGTGTTGGCCAGGCTGGTCTCGAACTCCTGACCTCGTGATTCACCCACCTCAGCCTCCCAAAGTGCTGGGATTAAAGGTGGGATTAACGGGCCCACTGCACCAGGTACATACTTTCTCCCTTAAACCTGTTTGCTCATTGGTAAAGTGGATGAGCAATGATTTCCTGCAATACCAACTGCCCCTGAATTCAAACGTGTTCCAAGCTGAATAACATCTGCACCAGGGCTTTCAGCACTGTGAAGTGTGAGGTGTTGTTCAGCCAGAACAGGAGCCCACAGGCCTCTTGGAGCATCCATCAGGGGGTGTGGGCGGCTGGCACTTGGCCTTCTCTGGTTTGTTAATCGCCTATTCTCATAGCCCTTTCTATACTCAGCCCTCAACTAGACCCTGAGTGAAAGCAGGGCTTCCCCGACCCTGGGATCTCCAGGGATACCTGGGCCATCTCAGGCAGTGCCCACCCTGTGCCAGGCCCCAGTGTGCTGAACAGGAGAACTAGGCATGTCCCTGCACTCTGGGAGCGATAGTCTGCAGGAACAGGTCACTGACCCCATGGACACACAGAGGCATTTGTAGCCCTGTTGTGAGGGGTGGTCTTCTGGGAGGGACCAGCCAGGACAGGGAGGGAGGGGGTCCCTCGGACCCTACGATGAGCCCGCAGGCAGGATGAGTAGGAGGCAGTCATGGAACAGATGTGTCTTTGGGAGGAGGTGTATCCCACACAGAGGGCAGAAGGCAGAGGGCAGAGCTGTGGGGGAAGCTCTGAGGCTGGAAGGGCAGACCCATGTGGATGGAGGGCAGCGAGCAGGGGTGGGGAGCGTGGTGGGGGAAGAGGCTGGGGAGGTGGGTTTGGAGACAGAGGGCAGGCCCCCCATCAAAGCTACACAGGAAATAATCTGTTGCCCTCTGGCTAAAACTAAATTAGTGCAAGTTCATTCCTTTCCTACCTAATGGTCATTCTCTCTCTTTCTCTCCCTCCCTCCCTTTCTTCTTTTCTATCCAGGAGAGACTGCATAGATTCAAAGATGATGGCGAACTTAACCTGGTCTATGAAAATCTCTAGGATGGGCTCCACTGCCCATAGAGCTTGCCCTGGGTCAGAGGACGGGGCAGCCCCTGCCACCAAAGGACTTGACTTGAGTTGGGAGTAAGGCCCCCAGGGATACCCCATCATCTCACATTCAAGGCCCTTCCCGCCTTGGCATGCCCCACTGCCCCCATTCTATGCCCCAGCCGCCAAGGCTTTCACATCTTGCGGCCTTTGCCCAGGCTGTTCCTTCTGCCAGGCAGGTCCTTCTTCCCTGGAACAACCAGCAAAGTGCCCCTCAGTCTTCAAGAGCTTTCCTGGATGCCACTCTTGCCCAGAGCCCTGCTCACCGCCTCATGCTTACAGAGCAGCATGCTTTCTTGGCTCTCTTGGCACCAGACAGCTGGCACCTCAGCCAGCAGGGCAGCCTCTGAGCTGAGGGAGGTCCCTGCAAGGGCCCCTTAGCAGCGCTGTGTGGGGAGCCGAGGTGTGGAGGAGCTGGGGAGCAGCTATGCAAACCCCTACCTGCCCAGCTGGGCCAGAGGCACGAGGCAGCCAGGCAGGGTGGAGCAGGGGCTGGCGTGGGAGGTCTGGGGGACAGACAAGGATGATGGACCCCACAGAGGCAAGACTGGGATCAGGGACAGATCTGGAGGCCCAGGACATGGCTGAGAGGTGGTCAGCAGGCTGGGGGCAGAGAGGGCTTGGGTACAAGCCGGTGAGGAAGGAGATTATGGCATGTTTGGGATGAGGGCAGAGGGATGGATGAGGGGAGGAGGGTGCTGGCTAAACAGCAGCTGAATGAATGGCCTGAAGTTCCCCCTCCCCCAAGGGTCCCCGCTCCCATTGGTCTGGCCCTGTATGCGCACTGTGTCATCTCCTTGGTCACCCTGTGCTCCAGGCCTTCCCCACTGCAGGACCTCAGCTGTCCCTCCTTCTACCCAACGCGCAGTCCCCCAGAGTTCCTTCTGTCTGGCCTATCCTGTGCCCACCACCTGCGGCTTCATCCAGTCCTCCTGCTCTGTCTTTATCTGCCATAGGCCCCAGCTCTGGCCCCCTGTGGATTGAGGTCCCAAGTGGTCCAGCTGTGGGGTTTGGTGCTGGGACCCTCAAGGGCAGCCGGAAGGTCCCTCTGAGGCAGGAGCTCAGGCCCCATGGGGACAGTGGCTCCCTAGTGCCTGGCCCTGAGCCATTTCTGCTGTTCTGAGTGCCCATATCACCCTCACTTCCTCCTCACAGCAGCCCTGCACTGTGGCCAGAAACCCATCCACAGGCAGGCAGTGGCTGGGGTCTGGGTGGCCCCGGGCTGTTAGGCTCCGCTTCCTCCCTCCGCTCCCCCATGTCTCCCTGAGTTCTCCCACCTTTGCTCATTTGTTAAATGGGCAGGTCAATCCTCCCATCCCCCCGTGTGGGCTGCCCCAACCCCAAATGTGCCCAGGGAGGGTGGGGTACCCAAGGCACAGGCCCTGGCCCTGCCCCCAAGCAGTACTGGGCTACCGCTCGCAGAGGCACCTTTGGTTCTGCAGGTCACGCCCCTCCCTGCGGAGAAGGGAAGGCTGGTGGTAGAGGCTGGGCACAGATTGGCCCAGAAGAAGTCCCTGGGCCCTGCTAGGGTGGCACCAGACTTCTCTGGTCCCGCAGGACAGTCAGTGACCTCCCAGCTTGGTTCTGGGCCCCCGCCTGCAAGCACACATGGCAAGGAGGGCTTTTGCAGGCTCACATAACCAAGTGGCAAGGCCCCTGCTCCCAGAGGCTGGATTTGAATGAACTCCAGGCCTGTTTGGGGAGGTGAAGCTGCCAGGTGTGCACAGGGGCCTCCCAGGCTCCTGGCTCCACCAGCCTGAGGCGGGGGCAAGGGTCAGAGCAACGGGGGACAATGCCGCTCAGGGTGCAGTGAGCTCCCCTGGGAATATTGAAGCCAGCAAGACCAGGAGAGCGCCACCTCACTGGGCCTGCCTCCCCCACCTCCTGGGCCTCTCTGACCTCAGCTCCTGGACCCTGGATCCTCTGGCTGGGACTCAGCATTTTCCAGTCTTTTTCAGGGGTAGAGAGGGGCGCCTGGGTTGAACTTTAGCACCATGCCCTGGCCCAGGCATCACAAACACGGCCTCCCTGTGGCTGCCCTGCCCCCGACAGACCCCGATTAAACCCACACCTGGCCTTGGCCCTCCCCTGCTCCATACCTTGCATGGTTTTTACCTCACTTGGAATAAAATTCCAACTCCTTCCTGTGGTCTAGGAGGTTCTTGGGGCTGACTCATCACCCCTCTGGTGGACACAGACATTGCCAGCGTGGTGGTCGTCTGTGCTTGGTTCAGGGCAAGGCTGGGAGGCAGTGGGTGCCGAAGTCTTCAGTGAGCAAGGAGAGAGGCTAGGAGGAGGAGGAGGAAGAGGGCACAGCGTGGAAGGACGGGACCCTAAAGGGCTTTGACCCAAGGGAGGGTGGGGTAAGAATGTTCTGAGCACCTGTTCCCCAGCTCCCAGGACTGAGAGCCTGCAGAGACAAGCTGGGGCAGGGCGAGGGGTGGCAGGGAACTTCAGGGTGGGAGGTGCATGGGGCAGGCGGGAGAAGGAAGAACAGAGAGGGCATGAATGGAAGCTCCTGGGGTACAGGCTTGCTTTCCGCTATGAATGGGTGGAGGAGGAAAGAGAAGAAAATTGCTTTAGAGAGCCATGCAGGCTGGGTGGCCCCAGGGCCTCCCTTGAATCCCTGCTCCATAAGGTGGACTTACGGACTTGTGGATTTGGGCGAGTCACTGCCCACCTAAGCCTCAGTTTGCAGTGACAGTTAAGACAGCTCAGGCCGGGCTTGGTGGCTCATGCCTGTAATCCCAGCACTTTGGGAGGCCGAGGTGGGTGGATCACTTGAGGCCAGGAGTTCGAGACCAGCCTGGCCAATGTGGCGAAACCCCGTCTCTACTATAAAATACAAAAATTAGCCTGATGTGGTGGCATGCACCTGTAGTCCCAGCTACTCGGGAGGCTAAGGCAGGAGAATCACTTAAACCTGGGAGGCAGAGGTTGCAGTGAGCCAAGGTGGCACCACTGCACACCAGCCCGGGTGACAGAGCATGCTCTGTCCAAAGCAAAAAACAAATAAACAAAAACGCCACTCAGTGTCTCAGAAAGGACAGACGGGGACTCCCTGGCTCAGGCAGAAGCTCAGTGGGTGTACATTTCCTTCAAGATTCATCTTTCAGAAGATATAGGCTGCTGGGGCAGTACAGAGGGGTCTAAGTGAGAGGCAGGCCTCCCTGGGAGCTGGGGCCCTGGGCTCTCTGCAGCCATGCCTTTAAGGAGTGCCTATGGGGTAGTACAATCAGATGGACAGGCCAGGGCTGCCCAGAGTTGAGGGTGGGGGCAAGTTAAGCAGAGAGGTGAGGGGAGGAGGGTGCTGGCTTAGCAGGAGCTGAGTGAATGGGCCTGGAGGGGAAAAGCTAAGGGCAGGGGTGGCTTGAGTGGAGTCGGTGAGGCCCAGGTGAAGGGGAGCTGTGGACCTTCCAGGACTGATGGATGTGAGCAGTCCTCAGTGGGGACTGGGGTTAGGGTGGGGAAGGGAAGTTCCAGGCAGCCCTGCAGGCCCCTTCCCCTTCCAGCAGGGCAGCCGTGTCTCTGGGTCTCAGCTGATGCTTCCCTTCACCCACCGGCCCCTGGCCTAGTGGGATTTCCCGCCATCTCTCTGGGCCCAGCCTGCCCTGCCCTCCTAGGTCTTCCCAACCTCCCCTCTGCAGAAACATCTCAGCCATGTCTGGCACCCCCAGGCTTCCCTGCCCGCCTCTAGGAAATTGACCCCTTCAGTGGGTTTCAGCCTCCAAGCCTCCCCGCCCTGCCCCTGCCACTTGGCTTCTGCTCTATCAGCACTTGATTGAGAAAATCATCCTGGGAAACCAGCCTCTGGGAGCAGGGGCCTTGCCACGCTGTTCTGCGAGCCTGCTGAAGCCCTCCTTGCCATGTGTGCTTGCAGGCGGAGGCCCAGAACAAAGCTAGGAGGCCACTGGCTGTCCTGTAGGACCAGGGAAGTCTGGTGCCACCCCAGCAGAGGGCCCATGGACTTCTTCTAGAGGTCAGTCTGTGCCCAGCCTCTACCACCAGTTCAGAACTTGAAGTGGGTGTGGTAAGCGGTGGCCCCTCCTCAGCAAACATTTCCAGAGGATTCTGGCAGCAGAGTTTCCATGGGAACATGTGCCAGTGCTACGCTGAACCCAGTGGGGCTGGGGTTCCCTTTCAGCCAATATTGCAGGACCTGAGCCTGGTGGCCTCGGCCAGGGTAGGCAGTGCTCTTGCCACCCACTCTCACAAACCTGAACTCAAAGAACTCAAGTTACGGGCAAAACCTGCTTTTCCTTTTTCTTCTTCTTCTTCTTTTTTTTTTTTTTAAAGCACATTCTAATTTAAAGGCCATGCTCCATTCTAAAGATGCCTCTGGGATTTCAGGGATGGATTTTTATGTAGCTCAGTAGTTTTCTTGGCAGACAGCTTCTGCAGGAGAGGTGGGCCGTTGGCTCAGTCCAGCCAGGCTGAGTGGCGTCACTCCGTTCCTCGCAGTGCCAGGAGATGTCATTTGCTCACCTGAGGGGCTTCCCCAGTCTCCCTTCCCTGACCTGTGGTCAGAATGATGGCCTCAGCCTTGACTGAGAAGGGTGTTGGCGTGTGTTTTGTGTGTGTCTGGAGGTGACATATGTGGGTGACAGAGGCATATGTTGCAGTGAAACATTAAAACTACAGCAAAGTGAAACTCCCTCTGATGCACCTGCCACCTCCCGGCCTCCATACCCATCCCCTCCCCAGTAGTAACCAATCGGGTCATTTGGGAGTGTTTTCTTCATCGCTGCTTTTATGGCATCTAGGTGCCTACCTGTGAACATGTAAAATCTGGAGCGCCGTGTGGGCTTCCGAACAGCGGCAATGGATTCATTCTGTAGGTGTTGTTTGCACTTGCTTTGCTGATGCAGCCCCACGTGGTGGGATCTGCCGGAGACAGCACGCAGGAGCTGCCAGACTCCAATTACAGCAAAGGATCCTGCAGGACAGATGGATCGTAATTTAATCACGCCCCTATCGAAGGCCTTTTCAGTTGTTTATGATTTTTTTCAACCTCACATAAGGGGCTGCAGGGAATATCCTTGTACACACACAACATCTGCAAAACTTTCTCTATGGGAAATGAGGAGGGATTCCTGGGGCCCAGTGCATAGAAGTTCACTGTTCTAACAGTCACCACCAAATCACCAGGCGCTGAGGTTGGGCTGGTTTCTATTCCTTGGACTCTTTATCTAGAATATTTCATTTAATCCTGAAAATAAGTCTGTGATGGTGGGCAGGGGTGATCTCCCCGTTTTACTGAAGCAGAAGCTACCACTCAGAGAAAAGGTGACTGGCTCCAGGTCACACAGCCCAGGAGGAGCAATGCTGGGCTGCTTTGGTGTGTGTGCAGTCCTGCTGTCCCCAAGGCCGGATGGGGGAGGTGATGGGGGAGGTGGAAAGAGTCATGGAGGGATGTGGTGGCCCCAGGACCAGGGAAGCCCATGGAAGGACAGATTTCCTTCAGAGATGGGCTGGCAGCCTCACATTCCTCATATCCAATTTCTCAGAATGTGTGTGTGTGTGTGTGTGTGTGTGTGTGTGTGTGTGTGTAAGTTGGGGGGGTCCTCCTGCCTCCCGGTATTCTATCTCCTTGGGGAAATGGAGGTAGGTCCATAGAGCCCCAGGGATTGGGCCTCCCTGGCAGCCCACACCCGCTCTGAGGCCTGGATCCTGGCAGCCTGGATGCTCTGATTCCAAGTCTACCCTGGAAATTCCCAGGCACAGCATGCCTGGAGGTGTGAGCCGCCTCTTAGAAGCTTTATAATCCTGGATAATGCTGCTGTAATTGGCATTGTTTTGCCTTTACAATCCTCTCATTACCTGAAAACTGACTTTGCAAATGGCTGTATCTGGAGTGAGTTTTATTTTACCACTTTGAGGACCTTGAGGGGCTGAGGAGTGGGGGCATTTTCTCTGTCTCTCCCTTGCCTGCCCCATCTCCATCCCCCAGTGAGCTCCACAGGCCCAAGTGGGCCAGATCCTGGCCTTGGCTCAGGACATAGCCCTGTGCCTTGCTCCCTGCCATGGGCTGATCCAGGGATGTCTCTTCTCAGATGCCCCTTCTGTCCCGCTGCCATCAAGTCCACCCATAAGAGCCTCCCTCCAACCCCTCCTCCTCCCAGCCATTCCCAGTCCAAACAAGGCTCACCTGATCTTTCTATAGCACATATCTGACCACATCATTCCTCTCTCAAAAGCCTGTCATACCTTATGGTCAGTTCTTTCCAACAAGGGTGTCACCATCATTCAATGGGGAACAGTCTTCTCAACAATTGGTGCTGGGAGAGCCAAACCTCTACATGACCCCTACCTCACACCCTATACCAAACTTCACAGTGGTTTCCACTGTCCACAGGATCAGGGCTCAACCCCTTCATCTCACATTCAGGGTTCTTACCACTCCTTCACTCTTTTTTTTTTTTTTTTTTTTTTTGAGATGGAGTCTGTCTGTGAGGCCCAGGCTGGAGTGCAGTGGTGTGATCTAGGCACACTGCAATCTCCACCTCCTGGGTTCAAGCAGTTCTTCTGCCCCAGCCTCCCGAGTAGCTGGGACTACAGGCGCATGCCACCACACCCAGCTAATTTTTTTTTGTATTTTTAGTAGAGACGGAGTTTCACCGTATTGGCCAGGCTGGTCTCAAACTCCTGACTTCAAGAGATCCACCTACCTTGGCCTCCCAAAATGCTGGTATTACAGGTGTGAGCTACCACTCTCAGCTTTTTTTTTTTTTTTGAGACAGGGTTTCTCTCCTATCACCCAGGCTGGAGTGCAGTGGCACAATCTTGGCTCACTGCAACCTCTGCCTCTCACTGCAACCTCTGCCTCCCAGGTTCAAGCAATTCTTCTGCCTCAGCTTCCCAAGTAGCTGGGATCACAGGTGTGTGCCACCATGTCTGGCTAATTTTTTGTGTTTTTAGTATAGACGGTTTCACTACGTTGGCCAGGATGGTCTCAAACTCCTGACCTCAAGTGATCCACCTGCCTCAGCCTCCCAAATTGCTGGGATTACAGGTGTGAACCACCATGCCTGGCCATCCCTTCATTCTTTTAACAACATTTGTTGCTCCAACTATGTGTCAAGCCCAGTGCTGTGGCTGGAATAAGAAATGGACAGTCCTATCTTCATGGAGTCTACCAGCTC